GAAAGATGGAATACTTTTAATGTAATGAAAGCCAATTTTTTATACTAGGCTTCTAAAAAAGTAATTCTCATTCTTAATAGTTCTTTTATTTATCCAGCTTTTTTCTTCTTTCATTCCTTCATTTATTGAATGAACATTTATTCAATGCCCGCTATATATCAGGCATTACTCTGGATAGCAACAGAACAGTAAGTGAAGCAGGATCAGGCATTACTCTGGATAGCAACAGAACAGTAAGCGAGGCAGGATCCCTGCCTTCATGGGGCTCCTCTCCCCTCCCCTTCCTTTCGCTGGGGGGAGAGAACACAATATACATATAATCAGATGTATCATAGGATGTGAGATAGTTATAATGCTGTGGCTGAAATGTCACTGGGTGCATGGATTGACATTGATGGCAATGCTTCTTTATGAGGGTGGTTAGAAGAGGTCTAGCTGAGAAGGTGACATTGCATCATAAATCAAAAAGGAGCAATGGAGAAAGCCATGTAACCATCTGGGTGAGAGAATCCAGGCAGAGGAACAGTGAGCCTATTGAGGTTCAGCATGTGGGGTAAAGCCTGTGTGGAATAAATTAATGCAGCTCTCCGAAATACTGTGATCACTTGAAGCGGCTAGTCATCTGATGGTCTTCTCAGGGCTTCAAATCTTGAAGCCAGGTTGGTACCATATTACCTGTTTCTCTGCTTATGCCAGTACCTTAATTAAGGCTTTGATTTCATGTGAATATTTTTGTTTTCTTGGCATACAGAATTGACCTTTTGTAACCCAAACCTTCAGCCATGGAGAGGAAGCACTGCTCTAGAAAATGATTGAAATAGAAAACTACTCTCATTCTAGAGGGTGTAGGCATTTTTTCGCTGAGGTTTGTGAGTTACTGCTGGGCTAGGCTGGAACCAGGAAGACCTTCTGAGCCACGGTTTCCTGGCTTAGTGTCATTCTGTTTCAAGTGAATTATTATAAGAGCAGATGCATTTATGCAAATCCAGCTGTAAAAATATGTTTCAAGGAAAATAAGAATTGTTTTTGTATTATCCATTTTGGTTTCTAAATCATTATAAAACACTGAGCTGACTTTAGTCATAGAACAATTAAATTGTGTGAACAATTATTCAAAGAACACTTCTAATCAGATGTCTATTATCTCTTATAAATCCTGAGAATGTTATAGTAATGTCTATTTGAAATCTGAAAAACAAGAAAATTCAAATTATCATTTCTATTCTTATGTGTTCAGAAGAGAAAAGTGTTTCTAATGGGAAGAGATAATGCGTAAAGATGACTTCAAATAAACTACCATAGGTAAATTTCAGTCAAGATTCTGTTAAATCTCTTATGCTTCTATAAATCCATATAATTGCAAATGATTGTTGAACCCAGTAGTGATTCCCCACAGTAACATCTGATTAAGGCAAATTTAAATGTTGGTCCATGCAGCAGCTTCAGTGTCATGTACATACCTCATTGCTTTTCACTTTTCTGAAATGGGTAATGGAAACTTGGATCATTGGAACAATCAAAGGAACAAAACAGTATATTCTCAGATGATTCCATCACCATTCCCAATGTGGATTTACTAAACCTGTCTCATTTTTGGCTTTTTCTTTTGAGGGAATTAGGATTAGTAAAAATATGTATCTAATTGTATAATGAAAAAACATAAAAAGTCCATCTGCCTTTTCTCCTAAGCAATTCCTTCCTTCTTGCTTTTAACTCAACAGAAACAACTTCCAGGTTTTCAGATTATCTCAACATGCTTTTTTACATATATCCCAAATCTGGCTACTGGGTTAATATACAAAAATTATAGAAGAACTGAATTCCTAAGGTTTAGATTGTCCAGAGAATTTCTGTTGTTAGGACCTTTTTCTACCGAAACATTTAAGTCAATATTAACTAATTATAGTTGAGAAGAGAAATAATATGACTTCTCTTTTGTAATGTTGGGGACTGATCACCTCTGATTTATTTCAACAGTCTAGACTTAGAATTTTTTTTTCTGTGGAAAAACAGATACCGGGAAGACTTGTATGCCTGTGATTCATGCAGTGTTTGACTTATGTTTTTCAAGCTGCGATAGTTCAGAATCACAGCACTTCTCATCACCACCAAGCAAACCCAGAAAATACAGCATCCTTTCACTTGAGACTCCTGAGTTGGCCGTACATGGAAATGTCAGGAGAATTTTGTGGCAACCACGTGCCACAGGTATGCGAGGATGTGGTACCACTGGAACGAACCCTCCCATTTCACTGACAACATATGTTATATATTAATATGGTTCCGGCCTCTGGATTTTAATTTCTTGGGAATGGGTTCTATATTTGGGTAAAGAATTGTCTGGTCTAACTGTCTTTATTATAATCATTTGGATTAAATGATTATTTTCCATGCAAATCTAAATAAGACTCAGACACTGTGGGTGCCAAGGATTTCTGTGTGATTCAGGGTTAAGAATAACAAGGGAGCCTGTTCTCTGTTCATAGTGAGAAATCATCTTTGGAGGCAAACACTCATATATACTCGAATCAAGACTTGAATGAATGTACTGGTTGGACTTCAAACCCAAACCCAAAACTATTGCCAGTAACCAGAAGTGCATCCTTGCAATCCACGTGGCAAACAATGAGGGAGATTTGGAAATACTCACTTGTGTGATTGGGAACCACAGACAAGGAAACTTTAAGGCTATTCTGATAGAAAATAGTGAACTGTCTCAACTTTGTCCAATTTGGAAATTTCCTTTATGTATTTTTTTCTCCCCTTTTTTGACTTATGAAAGTAGCAACATAATAAGGTTCTCCAGACCTTCAAGGAGAAAACCTAAATTAATTTCTTCCTAGCATATGCCACTTTAGAGAAAAACACTACTGTTTTGTGTATTCAAATGTACAATTGGAGCACTGACCTCTGACTTGTACTGATTTCACATATAGATAAGACAGTGGGTTTTAAAAAGCATATCATCTTTACACAATGTACAACTAATAGTAGTTATGAGTGGTAATAGTGGTTTGGATTATTCAGATTCTCTTGTCATCTTTTAAACATTTTTTTTTAATTATTTGTCCTTTGATCCTTTAGGCATCCCTGGAGTTTGTATTCTTCCTTTAGAGCTGAGAGTTTTATCTCGTGACCCCTCATTTCCATTTGCCTTTCTCTTGGTTTACACCCCTTGATACTTAGGGAAGGGAAAATTCTTTTGCCAGATTCTTAGGCTTTGGCTTCAGGCAGAGTTCCATGAACACCCACGAAGCAAAGACCACTGTTTGGAAAGTAGACAACCATTCTTTTGAATTCTTGTTGCTTGTTGTAGGAATTTAGAAGTGAGGGACAACAGCCAGGCTGGAGAGCATAAATCGTGGGAGTGACAGGAGGAACCTTTGACCCAGCTGTTTGTGGTCAGCATAGGGAGTAGGGGCATGGTGCAAATCATGCAGTTTTATTGATGGACAAATGAATAAATCGCCAAACTCAGGAGGAAACACAGAAAACAGTGATCTTCAGCGGACGCCATCATGTTTGTCACTAACTGATTTCTGTAAATACCTCCAACTAGTTCTTTTGTGGATTTCGAATGGTCTTTTTTTTCAAATTAGATGAAGGGATGGGGATTGTATTGGAGAGTACAGACTCTTTCCCCAGATGAGATGTTCTTTTTCTTAAATTGTAGTCACAACCTTTTTGTAAATATTACAAGAGAGATAAAAATTTCTTGACCCCAGTGTAGAATCAGAATGTCACAATTGAGCATTTAAATAGTTTTTATGCAATCCTGTGATCAGTTGGGTCCATTCTGCCTACTGAGTAGTGTTGCCAGTCAATGGAGTTTTGCAAAATAGAGTTTGTTCATGAGGTAGACAAATGAGAAGAAGCTCCCAGACTCAAACCTGCCTCCCCAAGAATAGATTTAGGGAAGGGTATGGAACAAAGAAACAGGGTGGTCTGAGGCCTGGGGAGAAGTGAAATGTGAGGTACTTGGTAGGCTGTGCATGTGAACTAACTTCCCAACTTTTCATGGGAGGCCTGTTTAGAAAATGCTAGTGTTGGCATGATCTGTGCATAGGGTTTTTGCTCTGTGAGGTCACCTGTCCAACATTTGTGGAGATCCAAGGGGTTGGTGGCTTCGGTTTGAGCTGGATAAGGCTGTATGTCCAAATCCCTAAAAGAATGATGAAAACCAATTCTTACCAGGTAACCATATATCAGAAGCATTATTTGTAGTAATGCCAGCAAGGGTTCATTTCTTTTTTGTTTAGTAAAGTGGCTTCTGTGACAAGTGAAAATAGAGGGCTCCTTCAGTTTTTTTTTCTTAGTTTTGAAAAGAAGAATACGCTCTTTGTTCATTTTGGTTTTTCATATTTCGTTCATGTGAGGTGGGGTGGGGTGGGGATTTGGTCTACCTGTGTTGCCCAGGCTGGCCTCAAACTCCTGGGCACTTCAGGATTCTCTGGCCTCAGCCTCTCAAGTTGCTGGAACCATAGGCACTTTCTGCTGCCCCTCCTGCTCTTGGGTTTTTCCACTTTAGGGAGGCAGAATGTCTTAAGGTGGTCTGAGGCCTGTATTTATTTTCTGATGGGAACTTGGTTGTAGTCTTTGTATCCCTGTTTGAAACTGACTGTGTTATAGACATTAACAATCAACAATTTTTTTTTCTTTTTGTTATTGTGAAAGGGCCTATGGGTGTGACAGTTGGTGGGACTTCCTGTGTCACAGAAGAGACTGGATATTAGGGGTACCAACAATTTACCTTCAGTGAATCATGTGAAAGCATTTTTCTGAGAAAAGTAAACTTGATCTTCAAAAATCCTGCCATTTTGAAGTACACCTGCAATCACTGAACTCCATCTGTGTAGTCAGAGCCAGAGCAGGGCCTGTACTCCTTTCCTATGTGTCATACATTCTGTGTCAGATTCTTGGCCTGGTTGTGACCAAGTGAGCATCACTGCTGCATAGCTCCAAGTGTTACATGTGTTGACTGTGGCCTTTTCTGGTGCCAGGGAACAACGTCATGAGGACCATCCACGGGGTGGGAGAGATGATGACCCAGATGGTGCTCAGCAGAGGCTCCATCTTTCCCGTGAGCGTGCCTGATGTGCAGCCCAGCATCCACCCCACTAAGCAGGTGAGCCCCACGGAGCATGAGGACGTGACGGTGATGGACACCAAGCTGAAGATCATCGAGATTTTACAGGTACGCCCCACAACAGACACATTTTGCTTATATTTCACTAAACTTTTTGTTCCCAGTTGCTATGTGAGTTTTCTGAAATGCTGTTTATCTAATTTTATTTTTTAAAGTTATGAACAAGCCTGGTAAGACTTCTTACACAGATGCTATTTAACACATTAATTCTATTTATTCCTTTCTATTAAATATACTAATGATAATATCCAGCAATTGTGGAGTGCTTTGAGCTGGCTAAAACTGCTTTCATGTGTGTATGTGTGTGTATATATATATATATATATCATATATATATTATATATATGATGTATATATATATATATCATATATATATTATATATATGATATATATATATTTTTTTCATTTGATATTGATCCTGATTGAATTTTTCCTCATTTAGGAAATATTTATGCAAGGTAGAGTTAATGATCAAATTCCAATTATTTTCCTGTTTGTAATTGAATCAAGCATATGATTCCAAATATCCAGACTTATTGTTGTTGCAAGAAACTCAAATAAAAATTGTTATCATTGGTTCTCGTGATTTATATAAATAACCATCTCTCTGTGCTTTTGTTTTTAAGTGACAGGGAATAATTATTTCTTGAAAAGTTAGCGTACTCTAATACCTTAATTTTATGAATTTAAACAACATAAACTCTTACCACACATGCATTATTTTAGTGAATAAATTTACATTAGAGTAGCTTATAAATTCCTAGCACTTTTCTTTTTTGTTAAGTTTGGAAAGCAGTTTTATGATACCTTAATTATAGCATTGATTCCAGATTTGGAGACTGGAAGCTGGAGTTTTCAAGAGTCTCTTAAGATTCTGGATATAGTTTACTAAGTCTTTCATCATAATTTAACATAGACGGAGCTACCAGAAGTGGGTCAGTAGTCCTGGAAGGGGCTGTACATTTTTCATTTAAAGTAATTAGATTTATGATCATAAAAGGCTTCTCAGTTCCTCCAGGAATTCCAAAGGCTGAATCCTGAGACACATTGGCAGGCCTCCCAACCCTGTGTTCATGACCCTGAAAAATCACTTAGAGTTTTCCTATTCTTAAGCTGAGAAAGGCAGTCATCACCTGACCCAGGGACCTAATGAGCCCCCAGCTTAACATCATCCTACTCATGAGACGACCTCTAAAACATGTGACCTCGTTTTAGCCCACAGTTGGAGAAAAGGAGCATTAGAAAAAACTCTTAACAGGTGAAAAAGGATGAAATGAGATTCTGAGGCACAGCAGTCAGGGGCTGATTCATTTTTGCTGCCTCTTTGGGCACTTTATGAATTCTCCTTGACCCTCTGTTCAGTCTGATTGCTGGTCCCTGGGTCGGGGTCAGTTTCATTGATCCTGTTCTTGAGCATGTTTCTTTCTTGAAACTTCTGTTGAAGAATTTCTTTGTAGCCACACTCCTTGGCAGATCTTCTGCTTTCTGCCAGCGCTTCTTCTCTCTCAGGATCCTTCTGTCTTTTTCCCATTTTTAATGTATCCTTCTTTTTCAGTCTGTTTATTTCTCTCTCATTCATTCTTTCTCTCACCTTTTCTATATGGTCTTTCTCTGCCTTTGTTTTTATTTGTTCCTTTCGTTCATGAACCTTCTATTTGTTTTTCATAATTTGATGTAGTAGAGAATTCAGTGTTTTATTTTGGTTATATTTAGGTTTACTAATCTTCCATTAAAAGAGAAAGGATATTTCACATTTAATTAATTTGTTTCTTACTTTTTTTTTTTACATAGGCTTTAAAAAAAACCCCTCGGATTCCTTGTTGCAGCCCACCTTCTCTTCCTACTCTCTTGCTCCAGGTTATCAAATCTGAGAGCTCTTTCTGATTCCCTTTTCCCATGATCTGTCTCCTGCTTTGAAAATCCCCTTATTAACTAAAATCACTTCACCCAGTGTGTGAGCACTCACTGCATATTAATAAAAGAGTCTCTTTGGTGTTTGTTGTCCCCTCTAGACTATAAGCTCTTCCGAGGTAGACTTATATCCTTGGTACCATTTTTGTATCCCTGGCCACTTCCTGGGTACCTAGCTTAACAAATGTTTGGTGAATTAAATGAGTGTGACTTACAAAGAGTGTTTCCTGCCTGGAAGGAGCATAAACATCTGGGGGTGGGAGGGAAAGATGAGAAGGAAGGGGTGAAGGGGGAGGGAAGAGAGGGAGCAGAAAGGGAAAAGGAGGAGGAGAAAGGGTGGGTGAGCGGAGGGTGAAAGAGAGATTGATTTCGATTTGGATTGGGGAACCAGTGAAAACGTGATGTAAAAAGGATTTAAACTGAACCTTGGAGGCGATCTCAAAAACTGATTATTTGGAGGGAGAAAAGAAGAATATGGAGGGCAACATGAACTTTAAAAAGTGAGAAGGTGAGAGAAGTTGTAAGCATTCAAGAGCTCAGGGAACAGAGTCTGAGGGAGAATGAGAGGAGGGGGCCTGTGGGGGAGGGGAGGTGTGCTGCAGGAGTGGCACAGAGAGAGTGATAAGCTTCAGTGACACCAGGAAATGCCAGCTTTCCTAAAACTTGGGTGACTGCATTGCTTACTGTCCAAATGAGAACTCTTGAGAATCTAGGGAGCACTGTTAACTATGCTGAGACACAGAAAGTAAAGGGCCTACCTCAGGCAGACTAGGATGGAAGACAACCATGAAAACCACTCCTCTAATCTGTTGCATCCTGATTTATCCTTCTCAGATCTCCATAGCATCCCTGCCACATGGTTCAGCACTCAGTCATTTCCTATGCATGTAAACAGTGCTATGATTTGTTTTCCCAACTCGGTTATCAGCTTCTGGAGAGCCGAGGGCTTCGAGTGCTTGAATTCCCCATGACTTGACTGAAGCCTTAGTACTTAGTTTCTGTTAATGGGAACAGTAACTCTCGCAAAGCCAGCCTACAGAAACACAAATATCAATGGAAAACCCACAGCACATAGGTACCATGATTTCAGTTGCTTCCTTATGGCCACAACTCTAGGGCTGATTGTAGAGTCAGCTCTACTGTAGCTGAAAGCCCAGCCTTTCTGTGCAAGGATGAAGGCCATAGCTCAAGCTTTCTCCTCTCAGAGCCAATGAAAATGCTGCAAAGTGCTCTGTGGAATTACAACATTACTTCTTCATCTAGACCCACAAGATACCTACCTGGACTATTCAGAGACCAATTGTAGGGTGTCAGACTTCCTTGTTTCCAAAAATTGCTGTGGGATTTGACTAACACTGGCTTATAGAAATGTATCCTTTCCCTTAGTCTTAACATTGATAAACATGTGGACGACGGAATGTTAAGTTCACCAAGTTTCTGACTAGTTCACCTGAAAGGTTGATGGCTGTGTTGCTCTTGGTGCCGTGTAATGAATTGCTTTTTTCAACACTGTGCTAATTAATTGAAAATGTTGTTTTGCATGTTTCTTGTAGTTTATCCTGAGTGTCAGACTAGATTATAGGATCTCATATATGCTGTCGATATATAAAAAGGAGTTTGGGGAGAACAATGAAAATGCTGAGACGTCTGCCAATGGCTCTCCAGATACCTTACTACCCTCAGGTAGGTTCTCTGTGACAGTACTTATTGTTTTCATAAGAACTTAAAGGCAACTTTCATATTTTAAAACATCATGGTATTTCTATTAGAGGAAATATAGACATGGTCTCCATTAATGACATGAAAGAATCAAGACAGAACATTAAATAACTTGCCTAAATAGTGGGGAGCATATTTGGTGTTAATTGACACTAAATCCCATGAATTGCTTGTCCTTTGTAACACTTACAACTCCATGAGGGAGAGGTATTATTTCTTGTGCCATGGTACTGATCTGTAAACCCAGGGCAGAGGGGATAAGTTACTTGCTAAAGGTCCTAAAAGTTGTGGAAGAAGGACCCCCAGCCCCTACCCCCACCACGTCTCTTCAGTGCTAACTTGAATCTTAAGCATTGTGGTTTTTTTGATGAAAATCTAAGAGACATTTTTGTGCCTGGATCAGGAGCAGAGTGTAACATGGCTTTCTGAAGAAAAGGTGTTTTGTGGGGTAACCATCACCTGACTTAACAATAAAGGCTGGCATTCCTCAAAGTTCTGAGAGTGGTTGTGAGTTTGACTTTGTGCGGTTTTAACTTTGCACAGTTATAAACTGGAGTTGTATTTCAGTTTTCACATTTAAAAAGTAAAAGAATGAAGCCACTCTGTTTCTGAGAGTTAGAGCATAACAACGAAACACTAAAATGGTTTTAAAAAGTTTCTGACTATAGAAAGGACTTCATGATAACTAAAAAATTAAATTAGCATTTTCCCACATAGGTCAGGCTGGTCATGGCAGGCTGGAAGCTACATCTTATGAAGTAGTTAGCTAGTTAACAGAATTCTTTTTCTGAGGATAGAATTTGCACACAGATATGAAACTTTCTTCAAACTGTAACCACTGTGACAACGTTAGGGACTTCCTCCTCTTTGTCTGTCAATCAGCTTGACAGAAATGATGCATCGATTGTAAGTGTGCAGATAAAATGGATACGAGGCCAATGTCCTGCTGTATGTGTCTGACATCAGCAAATTCCCAAGGCAGCAGGGCCCTACGGTTGGAGATGGGCTCGCCTGGGAGAAGTCACTTCTGGCACCTTTGCAGCACCGCTCTTTTTTGGCTTCTCAGAAGTGTAGAACCCCAAAGGGCTGTTTCCAGGAACGTGAAGGCAGAACCAGAAAGTCCTGCTGGCGGTTGCATTGACAGAAGCATAACAATTATTGGCTCCCAGCAGCCAGGCTTCGGGAAACATGAGCTCTAAGTGTCAGTAAAGCACCAGAGGGAAGGTCTAGGGGCACCCAGAAAACCTTTTCTCTCTGATTGGCCTGACTGCTTTCCTCATGTGAATCTGTAAGCAATGCCTTACAGATTGGAATGGAAACTTAGTATGGGAGAATTGCTTTTCCATATGTTACTCTCTTTTCTTTTTATGCTTTGGAGTAAATGAACTGTATATTTATCACTTAAATATGTTACCTTAATAGAAGTGTCTTCAAAATGTTAGTCGTGGGGAACACTAGGAACTCCTTACTAGGAAACATGTTTGGTTTGCTGGGAGAAAAAACACCCTGTCCACAAGAAAAAAGATGGAATTTTAGAAGTTAGGAAGCTTAGGTAAAAACATCACGTTGTTTGGAAATGTACAATAATAAGACTCATATGTACATTTTGAGTCTTTGAAAGATTATCCTTCCATGTCATTACCTATTTAAATTGTATGTATGTATATTTGTATGTTCATATGTATTTATATATTCATATATGTAGGTATATGTGAACTGTGTGTGTGTGTGTGTGTGTGTGTGTGTGTGTGTGTGTGTGTATGATAATGATAGTATAGATAAGAGGCACCTTTGTAAATGGTGTTTTCTGATCTTCAAATGTATTTTTGACTAGCCAGGCACAGTGACACACACCTATAATCTCAGCTACTTAGGAGCCCGAGGCAGGAAGATTGCAAGTTTGAGACCAGCCTCCGCAACTTGATGAGACTTTATCTCAAGGAAAGAAGAAAAGGGCTGGGGATGTAGGTCAATGGTGGATTGCCCCTGGTTCAATCTGTAGTACCGCATAACAAACAAATATACATATCTTTGACTACAGTAACACATTAGTTTTAAACATAGCTTGCATTAAAAAAAAATGGAAACTTAGTATGCATGAGGCCCTGGATTCAATACCCAACACTAAAATAAATAAGTAAATGGAAACTTCAGTTAAAACATTAATGTCTCCGCAAGGCTATATTTTAATTTTTAAACTATTAGTTGACCTTTGGTGGCCTAAATAAAGGAAGGCAAAAATAAGTTCAGGTAAATTAGTATTAATATGAATATGGTGGCTCCTGATTGGGATAAGATAAAGATTTTACCATTTATCTTTGCAGCTATTGTTCCTGATATAGATGAAATTGCAGCTCAGGCAGAAACTATGTTTGCTGGAAGGTATAGTAACACTCAAGTGTCTTTATTTTACTTGTGAGTAAGATTTTACCTGGAATTTTATCGATAACATTTTGTTGTTCACCTCCCTATACCTGTTTATTTTTAGATCTTCTGTTGTTGTTAACATAAATTTCTACCAGAAATGAAGCAGCTAATATACTCTAGAGGAGAAAGCATAGTTCTCCTTTAGGTCAAGTTAAAAAAAAAAAAGAAAAAAGAAAAAGAGATGAGATCAGTGTATTGAACTTTTCCCTGAAGTCTTTGCTTTTCTTTCCTTAAATAATGACAGCACAAGAATGCCCTTTAGCTCCCCTGATGTAAATATCACTGCATGTTGTAAAACATTATTTCCCTGAATCTCACGTATTCCAGGCAAGAAAGTAACTTCTTTTAATGTTATCATTAACTTGATATGTTAACAATAAAACTATTTTCTGCTAATTGGAAATATCCATAATTAAAGAAAACAGTATGCGTTTGGCCTGATTACCCTCCTTTGTTTTGGGCACTCTTCCCTTTATTGTTTTGAAGAGTTTCTTTTTCAGAAATGAAATTAATAGCAACCAAAACAAAAAGTAAAAGAAGCTAAAATTATTGAGATTCTAACATTCATTTTTATTACAGAGTTGACATAAGAACCTAAAAAAAAAAGTCTTCACTAAGCTTTTTGTTGCTTTTGTTGTAGTTAGAAACAAAAGCAAAAATTAAGGGGAGAGAGATTTTTATCTCTAGTGAACATTTGATTTAGGTTTGTTTTCATGTCACAGTTATCAGCTTTTGCTTGTTTTTCTATTGAAATGTTTTCCTATTCATCATTCTTGGGAAGAAAGACTTAACCAGTGTGTGATTTCACCTTAAAAATCCAGTCATGTGATGCTCATGGTGTTTTGGTCAAAGACAGCCACATACACAGTAGTGGTTTTATAAAATTGTAATGGAGCTGGAAGATTCCTGTGGCCCAGTCACACTGCAGCCATCGTGTTGGTGGAGCATAGTGCAGTGCTCATGTGTTTGTGGTGATGCTGTCTAGAACCTCCTGTGCTGCTAGTTGTATTGAAATATGCGACATATGATTTTGTACCTGACATGTAAATACCTGATAATGATAGTACATGCTATGTCGCTGGTTTATACATTTGCTATATGATACATTTTATTATGATTTTAGAATATATTCCTGTTCACTAAAAATGGTTTTCTATATGCTCTGTTATACCAGCAGCGCCCTCATTATCTTGTCTCTCGTTTGTATCATTTTTTTCTCTTGTGCTTAATTTAATCTTCTTTTGGGGGAGGAGTACCAGTGATTAAACTCGACCACTGAGCCACATCCCCAGCCCTATTTTGTACTTTTTTAGAGACAGGGTCTCACTGAGTTTCTTAGCGCCTCGGCTAAATTGCTGAGGCTGACTTTGAACTCATGATCCTCTTGCTTCAGCCTCCCAAACTGCTGGGATTACAGACATATATCACTGTACCTGGTTTAATTTAATCTTGTGTGTTTTTTGTTTATCATGGCTGTAAAAGCAATAGAACACCCCCCCACCCACACACACACTTCATAGTATAGGTGCATAGTAGGCACAAGTACACTCTATAATGTTCACATGGTGATGGAATCACCTAATGATACATTTCTCAGAGTGTAACCCCATTAATAAATAGTGCATGACTGTAGATAGGCCTTTTACTCCACTAGAGTCTTATTCAGAGACCCATTATACCAAACACAGAGCTGCTCTGGTGATGATCATGTACATGTGGCCTTCCCTTCTCTAGCCCTTTCCCACCTGTCATGTAGGGATCTTTTAGGATCTGGGGAAAATCAATCATTGGTAGATATTCTCCGTAAATACTCTGAATGGGTTCAGATGCCTGTCTTTCCTCCATGCCTAAGTGGCCAGCTCATCCTGGTTTTGCCTAGGAACCTCCTCAGTCTTAGACAAACTAGGATGGCTAGTAACCCCTACTTTTAAGGACAAATACAGAGTTTTCTTTGTAATTGTTTGAGAAAACAATTACAATTATATGAGGGGATCTTCCCATTCACTTCCTAATTTGGGAAAACAAGTCATTTAACTCTGAAAACGTAGATACAAGTTTAATCAATTTAATATAAGATGTTATGTAAATATGTTACTTTAATATTGTTTTTGTTTTTATAGAAAGGAAAAAAATCCGGTGCAACTTGATGATGAAGGAGGCAGGACGTTTTTACGGGTCCTCATTCATCTGATCATGCACGACTATGCTCCTTTGCTGTCTGGAGCCCTGCAGCTACTCTTCAAGCACTTCAGCCAGAGAGCGGAAGTTTTACAGGCATTTAAACAGGTGAGCTTGTTGCCAGGAATGTATCTCTGTGGTAGGGCAATTGCCAGGTATATATCATACGTTGAGTTCCAGAATTCAATCTTGGAACCTTAAAACAAAAAGGAAAAAAAGAAATAAACAGGTAAGATTGAGGGGTCCACAGCTGAAGCTTTGAAAATATCACCCACCCTGATTTCATGGTTGCAGAATTAACGAGACTGCGTGGCTTTTGCTGGAGATGCATTATATTTTCAAAGATACAGATGGTCTTGTCTACGTCAAGAGTTCCCCACAAGAGATTTTCAGATAATGTCTTTAATATGAGTGACAGGCACTAAGGTTTAAGAAGGCACTGGAAAATAATATGTTAGGAATTTTGTTGCCTTTGTTATTATTTTGACCCCAAATTTTACTGATATATTGGGAAGGACAAGTAGTAGCTCTGAAATAAATACTGTGACTCTGAAAAAAAAAAAAGAAAAGGAACTGTTATGGAATTAATCTTTCTCTTTGATCTTTGAATAAGACATCAGTTTTGAGATTATTAGTCATACCTAAGGGTTTATGTATATGTCACTAATATTTAATAGGGCATTGATCTTTATTAGGAAGTTTTCTCAGAATGCGCTAAAGAATATGAAATTGACTAAAAGGTAGTCATATAAAATTATATGTATATAAATACATATAATTTTGCATATATGTGTATGTCATAATACTTAGAAATTATAATAAAATAAAAAAGTAGATTATTAAGCTTAGATTAGATCTCTATATATTTTTCTGCCACTTTTTAAAAATGTTTCTACCTATTTTTAAATAGTCTCAGAAAAATTGATCTCAACAGTGAAATTAGAATAAGGGTATCTTTTTATGTTAAATTACTTTTCACCAACTTTGCAAAGTTTAGCGAAGGCACATTTTTGTAAAAAATAAAATAAAATTTTTTATAACATGTCAATATATTGGTTATATCCAGGTAAGTTTTCATGGCCAATATACATCTAAAATATTCACAAATGTTCTAGAAATATCAAACTCTACATAAGATATATTTTAAGACTCAGAGTTTAGGCATAAAAGATATAGGAATAAAGAGAGTTGTAAAAATGTTCTAAAGTTTAACATTCTGATGTTTTCAGGTGCAACTGCTGGTATCCAATCAAGATGTAGATAACTACAAGCAGATCAAGGCAGATCTGGACCAACTTCGACTGACTGTAGAAAAATCTGAGTTATGGGTGGAGAAGAGCGGCAGCTATGAGAATGGAGAGATAGGTGAAAGTCAAGTCAAAGGTGGCGAAGAACCAAATGAGGTTGGTTTCCAAGATCTACTTTGAACTAATCCAAGCAGTATCTTTTAAGTCAGATATGTATGTAGCCACATGCTTTATAATCAAAATTGTTCGTAAGACAACTTTTGTCTGAGCTTCAGAATATAAAAATTTCCCCTAAGTCAACAAACTCCATACATCTTCCCTTTGATTCTTGTCAATTGCTACTACCTATGACCTCATCTGTATAATTTTTTACTCTGTCTCATTTTCACTATAAATCATATAATTCAAGAATCATGACAATAGCAGGCCTATGGAGAGGGGAATTTTTGTTGTCACCATTCAAAGTGCCTGCTTTTCACCAACCTACAAATCATTTCTTTCATTCTGTCCTTATATAATATATAGAAATATCTAAATAGAAGGACGATATGCTTTATTGTCAACACAGAAATACCAAGAATTTATGCTTGAGCTAAAGAGTGAACTAAGGTGTTGACCTTGAGTCTTCTGTTTTAGTCTTTAGTGGGTTTAATGAGTTGTTCTTTTCCCATTTTACTAATACATAGGACAATATATTCTTTTTGCACAGTGTTAGTGGTAATGCTTAAATAACAGCAGACCATCACAATTGATAATCCATAAAGTTTCTTAAGTGCCTGTCAAATGTTTTATTTCATTGCTTTTTAATCTGCAGGAATATAAGCTATTTAGATAGGTTTAACTGCCTCAGGTTTGGTGTTGTTTGAGAACTCAAGTCATTTTGGGGTGAAGAGTGATAATAGAACAGATGATAATTCGAATAATCAAAATGCTGACTAGTTTCAAAGGGAGGTTGGATTGATAGGCTACTACTTCTTACTTTTCTAAGGTAATTGTCACTTATCAATAAGAAATTTTTTTACTTCATCTTTCAGAAACTTTTCTTGTGATTTTTGTAATGTGTTCATAGAATGCAGAATTTCTGCTCCATGAATATTTATTTTATGACCAATTTGGGATGGTGGGAGAATAAAGTTCTCCCATAATGTATTTAAGACATAAGAGAAGACTTAATATTTATTTAGTACTTGCTACATTCCACATTTTAGAATAAATATTTTTATCTATGGAATCTCTTTTTAAATGTTTCAGCAAACTTTGGAGACAGGTGTAAGCATTACATTTCTAACGCTAAATACACTGAAGCTCAGAGGAACCAAGAACCTCCTCAATGTCAGTCAACTCTGTGACTTAACTGAAATTTGAAACCAGCTTTTTTGATAACAAGATCCAGGTTCTTCAGTGTGAAATTTCATTTTCTGAAATTTCATTTAATGATACTTGTGAATATATTATACTTTCAATAGTTATAATATCTTTTTCTTTTGAAAAATACATATTTTACATGTATTCTGGGGAATAGGAATACATGCATTCCTTTTTCAAAAAAATTCCATTCTTAAAAAATGAACCTTAGGAAAACACATTTTATTTTTTGTAGGACTTTGAAAACAACAACAACAACAACAATAAAACAAATCCTAAGTTGAGAAGAATCTCTTCTACATTAACATGGAAGATGTTAATCGCTACTTGTAGTTTCCACACACTGAGGGAAGATGGTAGAAAGAGCCTCTATCATAGTGTGTATGCATGGTCTCCTCTTAAAAGTTTCACAAACATTTTGTATTTATGTAAAGAAAGAAGAGAAACAAGTGGTTTGATTGAGGAAATCCTAAAGATAAAGCATTACATTATGTAAGTAGTAGGGTGACATTAGTTACCAACAAGTTATATAACCCACTTTCTGGGGGTGTCAGATGAATAGGAGTCAGTGAAATTGGTATTTATTTATTTGTTGAGTTCAGGATTTATCAGTTCAGGAAAAGGTAACAATTTTAGGTACTTTAAGGAGGGGAAGTGATTTAATACAAGGACTTAAATACTGGAGGAGTACCGTTTGGAGGTTGCCCTGGCAATAGAGATTGCAAGGGTCAGAGCTCAAGAAGTTGCTTTGGCTATTGCCTTTGTTGCTGCAATCACCACCACTGACTCACATTTTGAAAGCATGTGGAAAGATAATACAACATGGTGTTCACAGGAAACACCAGTGTCTACTGGAATTTTCTCATAGTCCCAAGGAGATGACCTTTACTTTTCCTTCGGCCGTTCAAGTTCCACCTGAGTTTATCTCATTGGCAGAGGGTAGAATGTAGAACTCTAGCTGCAGGGGATTTGGAATACTAGTCTTTGGTTCAGGGGACTTCACAGGCTGGGAATGAATAGTGAGTGTCAGTTAATAATATGCAACATAGAGATGATTTGCTTAGGTGATTTATACCAGGAGATTTGGAATGAGGCAGTCCAGAATTTGCCTCTTAGTCTATGTGTGACTTTGAGCAATTTGTTTTCATTCTCTAAATTGCATTTTTAGCATCTATAAAATGGGACATAATAATGATACTTAGCTTGAAATGCTATAGGCATCAAGTGAGCAAGCCCTGTGCATGTGGTGTGTCAGTTAATGCAGCTTCAGTGGAGAAGTATAGACAACATGAAAATATAAATAATAGGGTAACATTAGTTACCAACAAGTCAAGAAGTAAGGCTCCAATTCCTTGCCTCAGGTTGTCACCCTGGGTTGCTGGGCTTAATTCTGAGGCTGATCTTTCTCCTGGTGGTGTTGTGGGAGCTACTGCCTAGATGTCACATCTGTGCATACCACTGTGAGGAACTATTTCTGGGTCTCTTGTTTAGGAACAAAGGAATCTTTCTCAGGTATTCCTCAATAGATTCTACCTCATAGCTTTTTGGCCAAAATATGGCCACATGTTTACCTCTAAACCAATGGACTATAGGAGTAGTTTAGATTAAATATAGGATGTCCCTCAATCTGGGATAGCCCATGCTGAGTTACATAGGGGAACAATGGATGCAGAAAAACAAAAACAAAAAATGAACAAAAACTGGAATCTGCTAGTAAGTAAGAGTAAGAAAGGATGTTGGGTAGCAACCAACAGTGTCTACCAAAGTCAGCATTCAGTTAGTGTTTATAATAATTATTATTTGTTTTTATGGGGAAAACATTGTGCTATTTACTATGATGGATATAGAATTATAAAACCTTAGAGTTAAAAGATACTTGGAGGGGTAATCAAATTCAATACCTTATAGGATATGTGATACATTTCTTAAACTACAAACTTCTGTGATTGAAATTAATGTATAGCTTAAGAAATAGAATATTACCGGTAAGAAGTCCCTCCTCCTCCTTCTCTTCCTCACCCATCTTCTTCCTCCCTTCTTCTTTATTGACTTTAATTGCATATAATTTACATATCTATCCCAATTATGTTTTTTTCTTTAATATATTCACTTGAATTATATAAATCTTAAATAGACCTTCTACCATAGTAACTTTGCATTAGAGAATAAAAGTATCCAATTTTTTTTACATTGCCAGATTGTTTACTAAAACTTTGTGTAGGGTTTTACATCTACATTGTCAGTGACATTGACATGCAGTTTTCCTTTCTTGTCTTGTTCATACAAGTGTTGGTATCAAGGTTAGACTAGTTCTATAAAATGAGTTGAAGCATATTCTTTTTTTTTGTGTAAGACTGGAATTATCATTTAACATTAATGTTAAAACTCATGTGTAAAAGTTCCTGTGCCACATATTTATTTTGTGGTAAGATTTTAATTACTGATTCATTTTTTTAAAATTAATTAATTTATTCTAATTAGGTGTATATAAAAGCAGAATGCATTTTGATTCATTGTACACAACTTTTCATTTTTCTGTTTGTACACGATATAGCATCGTACCACATGTGCAGTCATACATGTACCTAAGGTGATGATGTCCATCTCATTCCACTATCTTTCCTGCCCCCATACCCCCTTCCCACCCCTTCCTCCCTTTTGACCAATCAAAGTTCCTCTATTCCCCTCCCCCCATTATGGATCAGCATCCACTTATTAGAGAGAACATTTGGCCTTGGTTTTTTGGGATTGGCTTGATTCATTTTTAAAAATGGTTATTCAATTAACTTAAACTCTTCTATTAAGATTCAATTTGTTGTTTATGAGCCATATGTTTTAAGCCTTCAAGTTTATTGGCATGAATTGGTTCATATTTGTTCATCATCCTTAAAAGTTTTTTAATTTAAATTAATTTCACTTTTTAACCAATGCATGGAAATAAAAAAAATTGTACACATCAATGGGGTGCCATATGGAGTTTTGAAACGTGTAATTCTATAATGTTTAAATCAGGTTTAAACATATTTGTTCCTTCAAATTGATTATGTCTTTATGGTGAAACATTCAAAATCCTTTCTTCTTCTGTTGAAAGTTAAAGTAATATTCCTGTTACCATTAGTCATACTACTGTGCAAGAACACATGGACAAATGCAGAACACTTCATGTTTATATGTCACCCTTGTGCAGAGCCATGCTAATTTTCTCTGTATCATTCTAATTTTAGCATATGTGCTGCTGAAGCTAGCTCCTTCACCTTCTTTTTCTTTTTGTGGTATCTGGGCTTTCTTATCCACTTTTTATTCTTAATACTGTTTATTTTTGTCTCTCTTCTATGTCAGTTTTGCCAGAGTTTTATGTATTTTTCATTCTTGTAAAATAATCTCATTTTGGCTTTGTTGGGATTCTGGATTTGTTTGCTATTTTATCATATGTATTCTACTGTTTTCTAATCTTTTATGTTGACAGACTTTTGAAGAAAATTTAATGGTGTGATTCCCTTCTAAGGAGTTTAGTGCCACAAATTTTGACAAATTGTATTTTTATTACTATTTAATATTAGTTATTTTAAAAATTTTCCATTGTGATTTTCTTTTTCAACTCATAATTTCTTAGGAGTGAGTTTCTATATTTCCAAATATATTGGAAATTTTTGCCTTTAAAAAACTGAATTCTTTATTAACTTGTGACAAGGGAATGTGGTTAGGATAATGTAATTTCTCCTAAATTTATTGAGTCTTGTTTTTTGGGCTATCATACCTTCAGGTTTTTTTTTAAGTTCTAGATAGAATTG